ATCAAAAATTATATCGAAGACCTTGGACTAATAGAAAAAAATTTAAATCGAGTTCTCCAAATATTTCTTTCTCATACAAAAAAAAAATCCTTGGTTTGTTTCCGTACTGAGTACCAGTGCTACCGACACCAGGGAGGTAGTTTCCACCCCTGGACCCTACATATCGACCCATCAACTCATGGACTGGAGACCAACGGTTTAACTTCCCTTCCGAAGGAAGGTGTGATAAGAAATTTTATTCCTCAGAAAACCCCGGTGGTGCCGACTTGGATTGAACCTCTGGCCTTTTGGGATGAGAGATAATCACGCTTACCACTACACCACCGGCGCCCCTTTTATAACAAATAGATCAGCAAGTCTTCTGAAGATCTTCAGTCAATAAGAACGTATTTTCATAATATAGTGTTGATCAGGAATCATGCCGAAGATCTGTAAACGGTCAGAAATTGAAATAAAATCCTTTGAATATTCGAATTTTTGCTACATTCTATCTGACCGACGATCATCATAATAATTCCTGATCACTTTGATATGATGAGCGAATATATGGATAATCGATTTCAATTTCCTGTAAGTCGTAAGTCTTCGATATAAATTCTGATAAATTGGAGGAATTCCTGATCAACCTCATATGGGGCGATAATATTCAAAAGATTGAATTTCAATTTTAGATTATTTGAAAGCCTTCGACTAACCATCTTTATATTGTGAAAATACATTCTAACTGACCGAAGATCTTCGGAAGAAGACTTGATATGAGAAGCTTATATATGGAGAACACAATATAAATTTTTCTATAAGTTGGAAATCCTCGAAATAATTTCTTATTATTCGGAAGAATTCCTGACCAATCTCATATGATGTAAGAATATTCAAATGGTTTTATTTCAAGATCATTTGAAGATCGTCTACATGGCTCCTGATCAATGCTAAATTTTGAAAATACATTCTTATAGACCAAAGATAAGCAGCAGGACTCACTCTGATATGACCAGGGAATATATGGGGAACTCGGTTTCAATCTCCGATCGTAGGTCTTCGTATCATTTATGATAATTCGAATGAATTATTGATGAAACTGACATTGTTGGATAGTATTCAACGGGTTTTATTCAAATTTTTGATGATTTGAAAGTCTTCTATATGATTCTTGATCATTATGACATTTTGTAAATACATTCTTACTGACCAAAAATGTCTAGAACAATTTCTGTTCAATTTGATGGAAAAAGGATATATATGGAGAGCTCGATTTCAATTCTTCTTTTAATCGAAGGCCTTCGGTATAATATATGATAATTCGGAAGAATTCCTGATCACTTTGATATGATGAATATATGGAAAACTCGATTTGAATTTCCGATCAGTCTTAGGCCTTTGATATAATGTATGATAATTCGGAAGAATTCCTGGTCAATTTGATATGGTCATGGAATAAGGAGAACTCGATTTCAATTTCTGATCAGATATAGTTTTTTTTTTAAATAATTTCTGATAATTCGAAAGAATTCCTGATCACTTGATTTGATTGAGATATATATGGAAACTCGGTTGCAATTGTTCTATTAGTCGAAGACCTTCAATATAATTTCTGATAATCCGGAAGAATTTCTGAACACTTTGATAGGGTTCATATCAGGCATAACATTTGATAACGGCACAAAAGCATTTGTAAACAAACTTTTTAAGACCCTTTACACGCGAACCAAAGTACGCCCACGCAAACCAATACCACTTTCGAACAGGTGCCCCTATCCGATGATGTTGTTGGTTTGCGTGAGCGTACTTCGATTGTTTACAAAAGCTTTTGTGCCGTTATCAAATGTTATGCCTGATATGGTGAAATCGATTTCAATTTCCAATCAGTCATAGGGTTTCCATATATCTTCTGATAACTCGGTAGAACTTCGAAATAATTTCTGATCATCCTTGTATTTTGAAATACATTCGAACTGCCCGAAGATCTTCAGAAGGATTTCTGATTAATTTGATATGTTGATGGAATATATGGAGAACTCAATTTCAATTTCCTATTAGTCATACGTGTTCGATATTAATTCTGATAATTTGGGAGAAATCCTGATCAATATGGAGAACTCGATTTCAATTTCCGATATAATTTCTTATTATTCGGAATAATTCCTGATCAATACGATATGATGATGGAATTAAAGGAGAATTTGATTTCAATTTCCAATCAATCGAAGGGTTTCCATATAACTTCTGATAGTTTGGAAGAATTTCTGACCATCCTTGTATTTTGAAATATATTCTAACTGCCCGAATGTCTACAGAAGGATTTCTGGTCAATTTGATGTGTTGATGGAATATATGGAGAACTCATTTTCAATTTCCGATTAGTCATACGTTTTATATATAATTTGTGATTATTCGGAAGAATTAATAATCAATTTGATGTGATGAGGGAATATGCAGGATTCGATTTCAATTCCCGATACGTCGTAGGTCTTCGATAGATAAGATTTTGAAGAACTCCTGTTCAGTTTGATATGATGAAAGAATACATGGAGATCTCAATTTCAATTTCCGATCCGTCGTAGGTCTTCGATATAATTTTTGACATTTCGGAAGAATTCCTGATCAATTTGATATGATGAGCGAACAAGCGAAAAAGGACACGTGGACCTACGAACATGTGATCCGGTAGCAAAGGAACAAGAAAATGTGGCAACGTTGTAAAACAAATGCGTAATTGCTGATTGCTTCTTTACTATGTTCGTGACGAATTTACAGCGAGAATGTTTGGCGCATGGTTTGGAAATTGAAAAACCATGCTACAAATTTTCGAGAATCATATGTTTATGTATACCATCATGTTGTGCAGACTCTGCAGAATGTCTTGGTATAAAAATATGGTATACTTTCTTGGGAAATTCCCGGGAAAACATAGGCGCAAGATTGCATTTCCTTGCGCGCACATATACACTCACGTGCATATTCTCTTTGGGTGGAAATGCCACTTTCCCGGAAAAAGCACACGACTTGAAGTTGAATGCACTTTTCCACCCACATTTTACACCACTAGGATAACAAAATCCTTGGCTACAATCGGACGGAATTCGTTTCCCGATATTCGCTTTCCTTCACAGGATTTTCGGGACGTTTCCTGGAAAACCACCCAAATCACAGACAAACGGCTCAAAATGTCCGAACGATGGCCTTAAATGCCTGCACCTTGTACTTAACACTACCCATCAAATACTGTGCAACACTTGCACCATCTTTCTTACACTCTTTCATTCACTCTTTCTTCAAATCCTTGTCGTTTTTGAAGACCTTCCCTGTTTTCCGGAGCTTGCTTTTCATAATCGCCAAGAATTTTTCTATTGGGCGAAGTTCTGGCAAGTTTGGCGGATTTGTCTCCTTCGGCACAAAAACAACATCGTTGACTTCGTACCACTCCATCACCGGTTTCACGTAATGGCACCATGCCAGATCCGGCCAAAACAGAGTGTTACCTTCGTGGGACTGGAGGAAGGACAGCATGATTCTTCTTCATATATTTGGCCGTTGATGGTGCCGGTCGTTATGTACGGCTTGCTGAATTTGCCGCACCCACAGATCGTCTGCTACACTAAGTACTTCTTGGCAATTTGTTGACCTTCTTCTTCCGGAACTTCTACTTCTTGGCAAATTTGTCGACCTTCTTCTTCCGGAACTTCTCAGGAACATCCAGGTTGGACTCCAGGTACAGCTGCCTGGTGCGGGATTTGGCCACCGTATTCTGTTTATCGGTTCGGTTAGGCGCCTTCCTTACCTTGAAGACATGAAGTCCGGCCCGCTTCATTGTCTGCTGGACGAAAGATACGGAAGAATTAACCTGCTTGGCTGCGTCCCGAATCGAAAGGTTCGGATTGCGCTGGAAGTAATCCCTCACCTTCCTTGCGTTCACGGGGTCGGTCGTCTTCGCTTTACTTCCGCTGCCAGCTCGCCGCTGGGTCTTCTAGGTCTCCTTGAACGATTTTACCACACGGGACACGGTCGAATTGTTGATTCCAAACTGTTTCGCAATCCACCTGTGTGACTGGCATGGATTTTCCACGACCACTCCCATAATTTTTTATCGAACCGCTTTTTGCTTGGAAGTCATCTCGATGACCACTTGACAGATTGTGACGAGATTTTACACATGTAAACATTACACTCTATTTAAGCACACCAAAAACCACAAAAAAATAAATATGATTAAACTGCTGTATATAAAACAACAACACTTCACTCCAAAACAAAAAGCTCATAATTTTTGGCTAGCGGCGCCGGTGGTGTAGCGTGACTGCCTATCACTCCAAGGGCGTGGGTTCAATCCCAGTCCGCGCCGTCGGGATTTTCTGAGGCATAAAATCTCTGATCACGCCTTCCTTCGTTAAGCCGTTGGTCCCCGGTCCATGAGCAATGGGTGGATAAGTAGGGTCCAGGTGTGGGAGCTCCCTGGCGTCGGTAACATTGATACTCAGTACGGAAAACAAGATCGACGGAAAACAAATAAAGGAAAAAACATATATTTTTGGCTGCAGGTTCATCAACCATTTATTTGATATCGGTATTGTATTGGGCTTATTTGGTTGAGTATGTAACAAGTTAGAGCTAATTATAATTAAACGCCCATTTCTTAAAAAATAAAATTTTCTTGAAAAACATTTAACCAAAGTATTTGAAATTTTTCTCATTTGTAATTATAATAAAGATCTTTCATAAACCGCTAATTTTACTTAAATCCGTCCAGGCACTACGAAAAAATGTGAAAAATGAGCTTTTTACTAAAACTACTCTAAATTCATGCCGGCTCTGCCAATAAAGTTTAAAACAATACCGACATATCCATAAATAGCTGTTCAATCACTAGCCAATATTTCAAAATGTTTCAAAAATTGGTCATTTAGGTGAGATACATTGTAACTACTTAAAAATACATTTCGGTCGTTTTTTTTTTATTTCAGTGGTTGAAATTTTATTTCAAATAATAATATCTTTATTTACAGGGGTCGTTTTGGAGAGATTTTGCTCTTACTACCAGTGCTACAATCAATAACATGGCAAATGATACAGCAAATAGAGTTGGCAAAGATGTTCGGGGTAGCTCACATCGATAGCTTGTTGCAAGAAATGCTACTAGGTGGTATGTTAAAGTTGCAATTAAGCAATCGAATTCTGTTTTTCGAATCTTATTCTGTTATACAGGTGAAACTGTTGAAAATACAGCCCCAGCAACATCCCCGTTGAATAGCTTCACGAATAGCAGCAGCAGTCCTCCACACATGATAACTTGCGATGATCATCCACGGCCATCAAATGCAATGGATACATCGCGCAGCAACCCTACTACTACTTCAAACTGTGACACAATCGATTCAGAAACTAACGATGGGACTACTAACATGATGACGCCAACAATGATCGAAGACATAAGTAGTTATAGTATGCCCCAAGCAACGAATCATTTCCAACGAGAAGAAAACGTTCAAAATTACATGCATCAATCAAACGATGATGTTTATAGCAATCCATACATTTCACCAACGTCTTCCGGAATGCACCCTGTACATGCATCGGCCAATCGGCACCCTCAAACAAATGTCTTATTACCTGTTAATCAGTTAAGCCGTGAAGAATACCTTAAACTAGAGTTAAAACGTGAACCTGAAGCTAATGGATATTGATTTGTTGATTTTTTTGTGATGTTCCTTTACTAATCATATAAATTAGCGAAGGATGCACATTTGTTGTTGTTAGGATTTAGTTACTGGAAATGATGGAATTTAAGAAAAGTCTCTTTTCAGAGGTGGCTTGCGCAATAAAATAGTTGTTATTTTTGATTTTATTAACTTTAATTTGAATCTCTTCGATGACGACAAGGAGGATGGGTGAATTCGCCAAATCAACTAGTAAAATACTTTTGCGGACTCTCGTTTGCTCCAGTCTAGAGATTGCTGTGTGTGTAGCCGATCAGTTCTCAGATGTGTTTTTAATCACTCCAAGCCCCATTATATTTATTAGTTAGTTAGTTAGTTAGCTGGGTAACAAATAAGATGCGTGTTCTCACATTTTCTTTTATTTATTTATTTTATTTATTTATTTATTTATTCATCTGACTTTTTGTCGTCGTGATGAATGTGATGGGGAAAAGCCAATTTAAATGGCGTAAAAAACCCATATCTTTTCACAATACAGTACAAACATGACAAAACAAGCACATCCGCAGGGCTGTTACAACAGGCGGATTTGTCGCGGATTTGAACTTTCAGTTGCGAAAATCGCGGAAACATTAAATGATGTCGCGAAAATCGCGAAGGAACTGATGTGCTGTCACAAAAATTGTGGAATTCATTGTAATCTTTCCGTCCCGGATTATTTTGCTGCCATCAATTTTGTTGTGCATTTGGCTCTCAATTTTTTACCGGTTCAAACCAAACACCCTGCAAATAATCGAAAAATGATCTCAATTCCATAAGTCACACCGGATTTACACGGAAAAATCCCTAGTCTGTCCAACGTGAGACATTTTCATGATTTTTTATTTTATTTCCAATATGAACATACCATTTTTCCTTGTCAAATCATGAACGAATCGAATACATGCGAGTAATTGCCATGTATACCGGATATTCTAGGTTCTCCAAATCGTCCTGGAGTTCAGTTGATTTGTTCTACTATATCAACCAAGACTGCAATAATGTCTGTAGTATCGAAATATGTCCTAACAGATTCAAAGTGTCTATGTGGATCGTGCCCGACCTATTGCTACGTATACAAGATGTTATAGGTTCTGAAATCATTCTGGAGATCAGATTATTTTTCTACTATATCACCCAAGACTAATTCAATATCTGTAGTATAGAAATATGTCCAAACAAATTTGCAGAGTCTATGTGGACCATGCCAACCTATTTCCGTGTATGCCAAATGTTCTAAGATTTACAAATCGATATTATCCCAGTCTTTGTTGATCTTGTAAAACAAATCATCTGAACTGCAGGACGATTTGGAGAACCTAGATCATCTGGTATACGTGGAAATAAATCATACATTTTATCCATATAGACACTTTGAATCTGATTGGACATTTTTCGATACTACAGACATTATTGCAGTCTTGGTTGATCTAGTAGAATAAATCAACTGATGTCCTGGACGATTTGGAAAACCTATAATTTCCGGTATACATAGTTATAAGTCGTGCATGATCCTTAAAGTCACATATATACGATTCGGTTATGATTTGACATCGAAAAGGTTCATATTCGAAATAAAAAATATCATGAAAATGTCTCACCATTGGACAGACCCCAAGGAATATCCGTGTAAATACATAACCGCAACGTGACCAACAAGTGTGACTTATAAAACTCCGTTAATTTCTCGATTATGTGCAGGGTGTTTGGCTTGAATCAGTAAAAAATTGAGAAAACTAGAGCCAAATTAACTACAACATTTAGGACAGCAAAATACGTCAGAGACGCAAAGGTTAATTTTCAAAAAAAAAAAAATGCATTTCAAATGAAAATGCATTATTTTTTAATAATGTTTCATCAAATCTAGGCCGGTATTATTCAATAGAATCTCATAATGTAAGGATGTTTTATTAAGTTCACTAATTACTCAAAATTTAAACTATACATAAATAACCCAATATGATACATTGTTATTTTTTTCAATTGCATTTTTTCAAAATGCAATTCAGTCAGTCTACGCTTAAATGTTGCCACAGTAGAGTTGAAGTCGAAGAGGATGTAGACTTCGTTGAACCTAGTCGACATAAAGCGGACAGGATCATGAAGGCCATACAAGGAGTTGCGGGGCTCAAGCAGCAAAAAGTTTCGTTGACGAAGTAATCGTTCGACGTTCAGGAACGTAAAGGTTAAGTTGACCTAGTAGCTCCGGTGTGTCAGTTTCTCCTGTGAGAAGTTTAGCTACAAACACCGCTTGGGCATCATTTCGTCTCTGCTCAAGCGTCTGCAGTCCCAATAATCTGCATCGATCTCCATATTGTGGTAGGTTTAACGGATCTCGCCACGTCGTAGGGCATATCTCACAAATTTTCTCTGAATTGCTTCGATCCTACCAGTCCAGGTTGACTGGTACGGGCACCATGCTACAGAGACCGGAGGCAGAGTAACATGGTATGACCTAAAGTCATGGAGAACTTCTCCATGACATTGAGTATGATCATGATCGCGCATGTTGTTGTAAAGATCCAGGCTTTTGTGGAAGCGAGTGTGAAACGTTTAATAAAAATAAATACCGTGATCACCATACTACGCCACCGCCGCTGACAATTTTGAGCCGTGATCATTTTTGATACGCCACCGTTATAATTTTTGGATACATTAAAATCTTGTTTTTTTTTTGTTTCTCTTCAACCACTGCACAAAATTGTTCACAAAATGGTATCTGTACCATAGATTGGAGTTTTAGAATCGGTCAACTGGCTCCGGAGATACGACCAAAACATGTTCAGGTGAGTACGTATCCAAATAAATCACATGAGAATTCGAGTACAGGATTAATGTAAGTCATTATAAGTAACCAGGACTACATTGTTTTCATCCAGACATCTGGTACTCCTGAGCAAGTGGTCAGAGCCTTACTTGAGCCAAAGCCCATCATGCGAAACTTAGTCACATAATAGTTTATAAACAGTTTTTTTTTCATTGCTGGACATACACAATGCGCACACAGTTCTAAAAAGTAGTGGCTTACCCTCCCTACACAGCAAAAAAATAATTTTGATATCACATCAAAGTGGATGCACTACAATCATGTCGAAAATTTCATGTAATTTTTATGACCACATAAATAAACAAATGCAGTAAAAGCAGCGTAATGTCAGTTCATGCATTGTATTAATGATAATTTTGTCCTTTTTAGCAAGTAATATTACACCATATTTTCGACATGATTGTAGTGCATCCACTTTGACGTGATATCAAAATTATTTTTTTGCTGTGTACTAACAAAAATCCACCCTTCCCGTGACACTTGAGGGGTCGTAGAGTTCTCTCTTAAGTAAGTGTCGGACTAACATTCCTCCCCTTTCCCCATCAGATGCAAGGACGTGGAAATCCTTTTTTAAGAGGTAGTAATTAATCACAAATTACTATCTAACAGCAACGGATGAAGGTGGGTCTCCTTGATTACAGTTTGGAGCTCGTATCACCTACGACATATGTGCAATCTGGTTTATGCTATGCTATGCTATTTTATTCGGTGTATTTTTACAGAAGGATAACGTGGCCTCCCGTCGTCGGTAAAGCCGCAGCTACAAAGCAAGACCATGTTGGAGGTGGCTGGGATTGATTCCCAGTCCGGTTTAGGAATTTTTCGGGTTGGAAAATTTCTCGACTTTCCTGGACATAATAGAGCATGATTGTACTTGTCATACAATTATACTAATGCAAAAATTGTACAGGCATCGAAAGCTCACTATTGATAACTGTGGAAGTGCATCTAGAACATGAAGTTGAGAGCACGTAATAAGGGGCCATTGAATAATTACGTAAGAATTATTTCCAATATTTCAACACCTCCCCCCCATTGTAAGGCATAGTAAGATTTTTCGATACCGTCCGATCTTATGGATCTGATAAGATCTTACCAACTTTTTTTTATAAGATCGGTTTTTTGAAAGAATCGGCTTTTTTGGGGATCAAAACAACATTTTTTTTATTTGAACAGCCATTTAAACAAACAAAACAAACAAAACTTAAAGAACTTCACAGATTAACAGGTTTTTATGCGGATATAGCTATGAGTTAATTTATTATAATATATTATATATATAACTAAAGTTTTCATCTTACGGTGGGTTCTTTTTAAAAAAGGAACACACGAACTACATGGTCTGACCACTACATACGAAGTTCTCTTTTTTTTTTTTTTTATTCTTTATTAAAGATATTTTTAGCCTTAGGCTAGTTCATCTCTCTACATACGAAGTGATTTATTCTCTATCATCAAAGACCTAGCTACCCTGCTCTTTTCCCAAAAACTGCTAGCCTTGCACCTAGTAACGATGGTCCGATCGTCGTCCGTTGCATTCCTGGATCGAGTCCGTCTTGGTGCTAACATCCGAGCCGTCCATGTGACCGTTACTGGGTTGTGATATTGCTGACTGCGCTGTCTCGGTGCGAGCGCGTGGTGTTGTACTTCAGTGTGTTGTAGCTGGGGTGGATCCGTGATTAACTCGTCCCCGTTTAAGTATTGCTCGTCGCAAGCTAATTCCTGCCTTCGCAAATTGTCTGTATTTGAGGAGTCCGAAAACCAATATTGCTAACATAAGGGCGATGATGGTGCAGAGCGATGCGAATCCAAGTTTTGAATTTTTTTTTTTTTTTTTTTAATAATTCGTTTATTTTTCCAGGCTCATTTGCTGTAGCTTTGCGGAGCCGATATTCATTGTTTAGATAACAAAATTACTTAAAACTAACGTTAGTAAAGCGGGGGCCGATTACTCGCGGCTATCTCGAGGTTAGGGGTAACAAATTGTAACAAATGGATGGCAGGGTAGGGATTGTGAACACAAGGTTTGGAGAGCAATGTGCTCTTGATCTCGAACTAGGCGACACTCTGATGAAAAAGACAAACATGGGGGTACACCGATGGGTAGCTAACAACTTGGGAGAACACAAGATGACACTAACTTCTAAATCCTCAAATCTATCCGTTTTAAAAACACATAAATTAAATTCAAATAGTCAAGGTCTCGGCTCGCCAAGACATCTCTAACGGGTATCGCGGGTTGTTTTCCTCGGGCCCTGAGGGATGTGGATAACTCAGATCTGGCAACACGGTGTAAGGTACACGACCAAACAACATGCTCGA